CTTTTTTTCGTTCACCTGTATATCAACATCATCTAAAACAGTACCCGGTACACAGAAGACACACAGTAAGAACTGGTTAAATAAATTAATGAATTATAAATGCCATAAAACTAATTTAAAATTGTTGAATGACCCTAAGAAACCGTAAGTATGTTTTAAGAAACACATGATTCTAGATTAAAAAATGTTTGAAGACAATAAATAAATCTCAAATACTGTCTTAATAAATACTGTTATATTACTCCTTGAAGATCATTATTATATAGCCACCATTTTTTTAAGAAATAAAATTTAAGATTTTTAAAAAGTGCTAATCTATTGTCAATAAGTCTATTTCTGGTTGGATGTGGAAACATACCTGATTAGTCACTAATAACTAAATATCAAAAATAATAAACAGTCACTTTGTGGTTTTTCTATGACACAAAAGAATGACATCCATACAGCTCAAAAACAAAGAAAAATCAGCTTTCCTCATGTCAATAACAAACATGAAAATAAATGATTCTCCAAGAATGTCATTTAAAAAAATATACTCCATTCTGGGAGAAAAATAAAGATGAATAAACAGGAATAACAAAGCAATCTATCTATAACCTGAAATCATGATGAAAAGTTGATTGGAAAAGTACTAGAAATAGAAATGTTAGGGAAAGTAAGTAAGTGAATTCAGTGTATTCTCCTCAAAGAGTCAGTCTGGATAGTTTGTCCTTTACTGCTCAGATCAGAAAAGATTATACAAAATAGCCTTGCTGGAAAGAAACATTTTCTTAACAATGTCACCTCACTGGTAGTAGGTTTGAATACTTGCTACTTTTCAATTCTGATATGATATTTTACCAAAGTTATTAGACAATGACAAAAATGTTGCATGTATTAGCAGGGTTATTTTGGGGATGACACGAGTAAAAATTCAGTTACTTATAAAATCTGAAACTTAAACTTCAGACATTTTATAGCTTAAAAAAGAAAAATTTAATACAACTCCAAACACAAGCAAGATTAGAAACTGGTCAAGTATGGGAACATTGCACATTATGTTTCTATAATGTGTTTCTATGTATAGGAATGACTATGAAATTGTCATTTCTAGTAATTTTCTTCTATAAACAGCAACAGTCACTGCTAGAATGGATGCTTGAAAACTTAGCAGAAATATTTTTTTCTAAATATTCTAATCTTCAAAACAAATGGTGGTTGTCAAATTCTTACTGCATAATCTAAAATGGTAATCCATGTACTGTATTTCACTTGTAATAAGTCTTTGTAGTAAGGTTAACACTTCAACACACAATACAAATAAAGAGAGCTCCAAAAAATGAAAATTACTTTGCTTCTGTTTCTGTATTAGAATTTTATTTGCTAAAGGGTAAAAACAGATTTGCAAAATTCACAGTTAACTTAAAACAATAGTTTTAAACCTTTATTCCTAGCCCTTACTGCCTTCAGGAAGGAGAGAACATCTGGTTATTTAAGGAACACAATATGTTCACATTTTCTATGACTTTTGTTTCTAATTGGGCTTTAAATTTTTTTTTTTTTTGAATTTGAACAACTAGCTAGAACAATGTTTTTTAATCACTTCATATTTTTTCTGACTGTCCTCCTTCTATCCCTCTAACTTCGTTTAGTCGATTGTTTCTGGAAATCTGCTCAGTAGTTCTAATATGATAAAGAAAAGAAAGTGAAAATTAGAATTGTGGCCTGAAGAACTAAGTATAGAATCTGTATTTATGTTGTGCAGGGTAGAGAATGGTACAAATAGACATTTGACATCCAGTGTTGTCATAAAGTACATATTTCAAATAGTTCTTGGACCACTTTATATACAAAAAGTTTCACTTACTATAGCTACAAATAAATGTTTATCACAAATACTTTATATGAGAAATAGATAAGCAAGATACCACTAGTTGTAAAACAACAAACCTACTATAGTTCTTGTGTAGAAAGATGGCCTAAGATCTGAGTTCAATTGCTGACTATGTGACCTAATAAGTCTCCTGAGCTTCACTCTGATTATCAGTTTAACTATGAAAGGAGAAGACAAAATTAGACTGTCTAGGCTCTTTATACTTCTGAAATTGTGATAACCCAAGTGAGGTATATTAATTAAGTGAGGTATATCATTGCTATATCTTCTTTGTCCCACAATATCTGAAGGTGATAACAGATTTCCAGATAATTCTAACACAAAGGAAATTAAGGAACTATTGATACTCTTTTAAGTTAAAATTGTAGGGCTAATTCACCATCTTGATAAAAATGGAAGCTATGGCTTTTGTGGACTATGGATGTGGGTTCCAGAAATATGCCAGGGGTGAGTGAGGTCTACCTAGATTCAAGTCAGTGTGGTATACTAGAAAGGAGCACAGTATCTGAAGCAGAAATCAATTCTATTGTTATTTTCTTAATACCCAGCACATGTAGGATATGCAAAGCTAAGTGCTAAAAACCGAGCAGGTGTGTTAAGGAGAAATGATTGGTAGAACAAATATGAACAGAGATAAAACACAGGTGCTGTGCAAACTTGAAGGGAAGGAAATATCCTAAAGGAACCTGGAAATGATTTTATGGAAAAGGTAAGATGGATGATAGAAACCTCAGGAGGCAAAGAGTAAGAACAGGATCAGGATTTTTTAGAAGATATGGGTAGGGGTCTTAGTATTAACTTTCTCTTTTATTCTCCTTAGCATAAATGGCCTCTTTTATGACTATCATTAACAACAATTACAATGAAAATTGTACTTGTAGATTTCTATAGTATAGGCAAACTTTTTCTTTTTTTTTAAACTTGCACTTTTGTAGCACTGGATTGGATTGTATTAGCTCATTTGAAGTCAGTTCTTTATAGAGAAAGAAGCACTGGAAGAGTGGGTTATCCTAGACAACTTCACTCAACCTCCAAATATTACAAAAAAAGATGATAATGGCTCAGCAAGCATGAGTTTTCCAAAATAATGAGAATGGTCAGAAGCTGAGCCAAGGCTTGACCTAGATCCCCAATTCTTAACTCAGGTGCCTTGCAGAACACTACAGTACTACAGACTTACATTAACACCTGTGTCAAGGACAGGAGTTCTCATCTGAAATTTCCTAATTTCAAAGAGTCTATACTTACTACACTACCATTTGACTATAACTACCACTTTGATGGGCTAGAAATCCTTTGAAGATATACAACTTTTTTACTTTTCCTGTAGATATCATCATTCCATGAACTTGTCCTCATGAGTCTTGTTATTATGACTCCCTCACCCTGTCCAATTTCTTATGTCTCAGAAATATCAGTTTAGGGCTTCATATTTTGTACCAATATTTCGACTACGTTTTTACTTTGGGGGAAATTCCTTTTTTTAAGATAATAATGCTATTATTTTTTCTCTCAAACTCTAACGAACCTATAGTTTTAATGTCTGTAGAATTTTATTCATTAAACTATTATAATATGGGCACTATTTATTGAGATAAAATTACTCCATAAAAATCACACTAATATGAAAGGGCACTTAGATTCTATTAGTCAACAGTGATGGACTGGGCATAAAGATTTTGAAATTATATGAGAGATTCCTAAGAAGATCAATCATATTTAGCTAGGAAAAAAATTGCCAAGACCCATAGGCTTTTGACAACATATTCATTTCTTCCTTTAGTTAAATGAAACAAATCACGTTAAGCAGGGAATTAAAACTGCTTTTAGCTTTTTTTTTTCCTTCCACTCTAAGAATTTCTAATTCTGAACGGAAAGCATTGGACTTAAGTTTGTAGATCAAAATTCATACTGAACTGACCAGCAACCTCTTTTTTAAAGCTATTTCATTATATTGTTGTTTTTTTTGTAAACAAAAAGTACATACTCTCACAACTTACACATACATATGTACATAAACACATAAGCAAAGAACTTTATATTTTCATAGTCATACTCTTAAGTTTTACCAGAAAAAAATATGCTTCCTTATGTTTCAGAGAAATGATAGATTTCTGATGCTTAGTGAAATTCTTGGTGTAATAGAAATGATATAAAAATTCATATTTCTAAAGAAAACGTACTAGCATAAAGAAAAAAAAAATTAAGTCCGTCAAAGAATACACTGAGGAAATATGCACAAGGAAAGGGCAGAAATCCTTTAGAATCAAAATTTATATTAAATTTGAAGGACCAGACAGAGCTTTGGCAGTGGAATCCACAGACAGACTGACTGACTCACAGACAGTTCGACAATTGCCAACATGAGTGGTGGGAGGGCTGCCAAAAAGCCAAAGGCTGGGACTACCATCCAGCACCTGGCATTCTCAGACTCGGATTTGAAGCTTTCTCTCTTATACTGCATCCAATATTTTTGTTTGGCTCCAAAGTAGTAAGGATTCACAGATTTTTTTAGATCATTTAATGTTCTTATTTTCAAGAAATATAACATTAGTTGTAAAAGAGCACACTTTTTCTCTGCAGTGTAAAGAAAATTTTGATGAACTGCTTTACGCTCAAATGGAGAAATCAGTGTTAAAGTCTATTTAAATCTTTATTAGATTACTTAGTCCACAGAGTAAAAAATACATACTCACAACATGAAATAATTCAGTGATTCATTTTATCATTAATTCTTACAGACCTTGTCCTTTTAACAGATCTACTTCTCCGACTTTTATATGGCCCCAGAGGTACTATTTGAATAAAAGTCATCCCCTATGAGGGGCACCAAGGATAATGAAGTGTGGCTGCAAGGAGAGGTAGTTGCTCAACTATTTCCTTGAGTGATGAGGAGGCAGGAGGACCAAACAATTTTAGGAGATACAAGAGATGTGTGCGCTGATTCTAAATTGCATTGTCACTGAATTACTGGCTATTGAGGTATGTGAGTTTTGGCCTATGATTGTTTGACAAATTTGATTGCTAGGCAAATCATCTGTTATGGGAAATTTTTGATCAAACATGTTCAGAGAGGCCTATTTTTCACCCAACTTAAAATTGTGCATATCCTACTGTGAAAACTTACCTTTGGGTCTCTAAGAAACAGAGCCTTAAGAATCAGTGAGTGCACATCCCCGATGAGTGGATAATGCATCAGAAGGCCAAGACAGGTCTGGTAGTTACTAGAGATCACTAAAAAAAAAAAAGAAAAGAAAAAGAAGAATTCAAATACAATATTGGTTGAGATATTTTATATTATATTACTGAAAATATAAAACATAACAACTTAGAGCCAAAGAAAATAAACCAATAATTCAACTGATTTGATAAAAGGAAGGAGAAGATATCCTTATCAAATGGCCTTTGAAGCAACACACTGCATTGTTAGCAGCAATCTAATACACTAGTGCTTATCCTCAGGGGGTGCTGGGAGAAAAAAGCTTTAGATACAGTTATGTGTGTATGTTTGCAATATAAATTCTTAGAAACTTGCATACTTACTACCATTTATAGGACTGTGCTTGAATGAATTTTGCTTTTCTGCTTAGAAATTAGTAACAAGAACCTTATGAATGGGGAAGAACCAGTTAAAAATTCTCATAAAACAATATTTGCCTTGATAATTATGTTTGATAATTTATAAGTTATAGTTACTCTCTTATGTAAATATTATAAAATTTAAAATTAAAAAAAGTAAATTCCCAATTCTTTGTTTTTCTGAAGGTAAAATGAAATTTATAGAGAATATCTATGAGCATTTCATTGGAGAAAAAAGTGACAAAATCTTCATAGATGAGTCTAATTGTGTTCTGCAGACTGTCATTTAATTTTTTTTCAAATCAACCTAATTATAGGTGCAATTATTAAACACATCTTTTCAGGCAGGTCTATGTAAACTACTTTGCTTCTTTGTAATCTATCTGCCACTGCTGTCATAGTTGGGCCCATTAGCTATACTTGTTTGTGAGGCATATCGACTGCCGCCATATAGCATTGACTGTGAACAACTTTACAATTACTTCCTGTAGTTGTATCTGAATCTTTTTCATGAACTTGTCACTTGAAAAATATTCCATAGGGAAATAACTGATTCAATAGAAAAAAATGCAAATAAAAAATAATTATTTCTAATCAGAAATATACTTGATTCTTAGTTTCCTTTTTTCTGCTGCTGTTGGAAAAGCCACTTCTTGCTATAGCTTCCTCTTCATCTCCTGTCCCATGAGTGCTATGGGGAGAAGAGACAGAACTGGGCAAAATGAATAATTAGAACCTATGTAAGGAACCACTTTATCATCTTCATTTCTGTTGCTGATCTGACAGCTTATAATTTCATACATCTGTTTTCATTTGAACAGCACTCACTTATCTACCCTATCTATATCTGTTCAGACTCTTCTTATTTGTTCACTTTTCCATATTTACAGTTACTTGTCCTTTTTTTCTCAAAAATTAAATAAAGACAGAATGAGGACAGAATAGTATGTTTTCTTGTACAGTTCTCTTTGAGAACAAGTAAATAAACTTAGATAAATCAACACATCTTACAACTCAATAAGTTATTTTCTCAAATGCTAAAATGATAATATATATTAGTAGCTGGCCAACAAAGAATTCTAATTATTTTGCATGAGAGAAAAGAGAATTCTGTAAAAAGGGTTTTAAAAGCTCAGTGCTCAAAAGATGTGGGTCTGAATCCTAGGGCCCCATTGGAATCTTTCATTAAGTTGCCTAAAATGGTATAAGCAATGGGACTGACTTAAAGCACCCTGTTCAAAATCTGTTTGGCTACCTTCTGTGAGCTTAAATTTAGTATTCTGGAAAACAACTTCCTGATTTTTAAAAATTATCTACTTCATGCAATTCAATAATTATTTGTTGAGTACCAACTTTGTGACAAGCCCTATGCTAAGAAAGGATGTGGAAATAAACAAAAAGAAGTCTTTGCTCTCAAAATAAAATTATAGAAGGGCAGAAGTATAATATTAGCAGCTGTTACTAATACTTCTATTAAGATGACAATGAATTACTCAAGGCTTCTGCAAACAGGACCCAAACTAAGAACTTTACTCCTTTGCATTTAATTTTGATGACAACTTTATATAAAGGTACAGTTATTAATCCCTGTTTGACATATGAAAAAACTGATACTTGTAAAAGTTAAATTACTTAAAGGACACAGTGATTCCTTGTTGGAGAAGGATCTGAAATACAGAGGTCTAACTTCAGGGTTTATACTCTATATAATACAAAACTCTGTTTTGAAAGGACATTGCTTTGAAAATCATGTCAAAACAGATGCAAATGTAAACAGTGAAGTCTATATTATTACTCTTTTTTAGTAGTTTTAAATAACCTAGAACGTCAATATAAACCAATGTCGAGAATAGCCTGATATAGACAACATTTAATTGGGAGGGACCAGAATAATGATCCTATTTCATTGCAAGTTTAAGAACTTTTGAATTTATTAGGTTTCAAAGTACATAAGGGAAGCAAAATAATGTGTTAATATTTTATTGGCAGAACAAATGAAGGAACTAATATTTGTCTTCCTTCTCTCCCTCCCTTCATTCCATCTTTCCATCCATCCAATAACTGCATGCAATGGATACTTTCAAAACATCAATTAAATGCTAGATATTCAAAGACTACGCTAGGCATTGGCACTAAGGAATAACAGCAAATAGTGAGTCCCCTGCCTTCAGATTAATACTATCTTCAATTTACTACTGAAAATCTGTATTTTAACAGTAATAGTATTATGGTTTGGATCTGGGATGTTCCCCAAAGGCTCATGTACTTGATGGCTTGGTGCCAAAACAGCAATGTACAGTGGTAGGAATTTGGGGAAGTACGTGGATCACGAGGACTCTGACCTCTCAGTGGATTCATCCATGGATGGCTGCATGTACGAATGGGAGGTGGTATTATTTGGAGAATGTTGGACTCTGAGGGGTGTGACCTAGAAAGGCTGATCATGTCCCAGGCCACTTCCTGTCCTCTCTCTGCTTCCCAGCTTCCAGAGGCTGAACAGCTTTCCCCTGCTGCATCCTTCTGCCTTCATATTCTATTTCACCTCAGGCCAGAGCTGACTGACCCTTGACTAAAACCTCTAAAACTGTGAATCAAAATAAACTTTTCATCCATTAAGTTAAGTTGTTTATGGTATTTGCATCACAGCAACAAAAAGTTGAATAACAAAGAACATCTCTAACTTGCAATTACATATGCTAACTATCAAATCCTTTTTTGAATAACTAAGCCCAATTTAGAGTAGGTAAAAGGATTATATGTTGGTTTACAAATAAAAAAAGCACAGATCTGACAGAATAAGAATTCAGATTTTCTCTTTATAGTACATTTTTGTTGAACATGAAAAACTAGTCTGTAATAATATTCCTTATCCAATGTTTATTCTATCAGAGAAGGGTAGTTATATGGCAGGGGGAAAAAAAAGTGAAAAGTTTAAAAAATCCTTAGTTTTAATGTCTTCCTACATTTAAAATAAGAAGTTTATGCTTTAAAACCAAAGTACTGAAGCATACTCTGAAGAGTTGATGCAGGGAAGGTAAAAACAAAGGTGAAGGCACCTGGGAAAATACACTGTATTTGGAATCAGAAGATCTATTAGAATGTTGGCCCCAGTTACTAGTTATTAAATGTGTTAGGCAAGCTGCTCATCTTCACTCAAACTTTATTTTCCCCCATTTATAAAACAGGGACTATGAAAGCTGTCAGTACTAACATGGAATCACTCTTGTCAAACTAATAATGAAGCTGGGAGACCATGAAAGAAGGGCCTTCTTGAGGGCATGCTGCAACAGGAATGCCATAAAGGACTTTCCTAACCAGAACTTTCCAGTTAAGTCACTTCTATTAAGACCCTCTTCAAGCAACAGTCAATACCACCAAAGAACAAGCAACAGTCAGTACCACCAAAGAACAAGTGTCACTACCTGGGACAAGTCCCTTATAACTAATGAGCCTCATTTCAAAATGGCTTATAATGACTTCTCCTTTTGCCTTTAAAAGCTTCCCTTTGTCCTACCCCCTTGTCTGTACTTTCAGTCTACCATACCAGGCATATTCCAAATTGCAATCCCTTGCTATTCCTGAATAAACGCTTTTGTTTACTGAAAGTCTGTCTCTCTGCCATTCATTTTTGGTCAACAAGACAGAAATGCTTTCTCTATCTGCAGGGTTTCTCTAAGGGTGACCAAGATGCCAAACCGAGATTTCCCTACTCACCGAATTTTTCTTTGATGAATAGTGCTACTCCACATGGAAGCAGAGCTGACTTCTCTTTCTCCATTTTAAATGCCCCACAACTACTGTGATGTAGTTGGAGAGAGTTGGTTTATATAGTTTTCCCCAGTGAAAACAGAAAAAAATAGTGCAATCAGTAAAACTAAACAGGGAATGTGATTGTTTTGAGAAAGTTTAAAGCAACATGAATCCATAACTTATCTATAACTCACAGCTAACTATACTTATAACATTTACAAATATATTTTCCAAATTATTTAATTTTATATGGAGATATATTTTCTCAAAGTAACAAAACAAACTGAGAACAACTACTACAAACCATGACACTAAATACATACTTCCTTTAATTTAGCTATCACTTACTAAGCAACTATATAGTATGTCTGGTGACTTGCCATTTATGTAACAAACATCTCACAAGTCCTACCAACCTCCTCGAAGAAAACCATTATCATCAACCCTCTATCACACATGAGGACATGGGAGTACAGAGTGGATAAACAACATGGCCAAGGCCATAGAGCTCTGAAAGGGTAGGAACAGGAATTAAATATAAGTCTGTGTAACCGAAAGCTTTGCCCTTCATTGCTCTATCTTATACTTTGCTGCATTCCTAGGAGAGTCACAAGAAGAAGATCTGCACACATAAGTGAAGACACACACAATGCAGATGGCTTCTAAATACCAACTATGTTCTGAGCCACAGAGAAGTTCAAATAAACAGAAGAGGTCCTCAGGTGTAACCAATATTTAGAAATAAGCATAGATTCTTACATATAGGTATAAATCGTCATACAGGATAATCAGATTAAAAATAATTAGCTCATGAAAAAAGAAACCTTTAGGCTTTCTCATAATTCATCATACTTCACTGAAAATAGTGCAAATGTATAAGTACTTTGTAAGGTATCTGGCATGCA